ACCCCGTGAGAGGAACGATCCTCGTACGTTGGACTTGTCAAAGCACAGTCAACCACACAACGCTACTTGAGGACATCCAGGGCGGTTGTGACTTTAACTACCTGAGCGGTCTTTGACCTTTCTCGTTCTTCTCTCAAGGAGCCTAACACCTCCCCACTAAATCCACAGCGACAATTTTCACAAACTGGACTTCAATAACCCTAAACTTTTAAGGTGTTACATTTTACAGCCTGTGCTCCTTCACTCCTCACACGACTAGTCCAGTCATTTAAGCTTAAATTAGGTAAGATCGAATTCAATACCCAGCTGTAAGTCTGTAAATACTTGTATATTGACACCTAAAAGTTGTCTAAAACTTACATATGTAGGGTGTACGCAACTATTAAATTTCAAGGTCAAAGGTCACAAAAATCGTTTTTTGCGCTTTTTTTTTTTGTAAATATCTCATTTCTATGGGTTTTTGCTATTGATATTTATTATCAATATTGTAGAATATAAAATTCTCTACAAATTTTGTTTAAAATGTTTTTCATACGGTGAACCGTTTTCGAGATAGAGGGCTTAGAGCGCGCGGTCACAGCATCACTTCAGGTCAACCGGTGCCTCCGATCAAAACGCGCCATATATAGTTGATGAACTATCGATAAATCAATGATTATAAATATTTGTCAATTTTATTAACTATTATATTATATTTTATCATTTTCTCATGCCTTAAATCTTTATCTATTCAATAATACTGATCACCGTTTCCTAAAATTAAAAAAAATGAAGGGAAAAACTTAAATCTTACTATAATTATATTCCCATTAACACTAATGACATTTTAATTAGAAAATAATTAAGTGCATCTTCTTTAAAATCTGTAAATTTGTAAATAATAGGACAAGATATTGATTTACTCATCATTTTAATTGGCGTACACTGTCTTACGAACAAGAAATTGTCTTTAAAAAGTTGGGAAAGGCAATGTAAAAACGGAAGATATACTCGACTAAAGTTTTGATAATTATCCTCATTCCAAAACACATATTTTATTTCTGCACGCATTAAGTGGATGTGACACAACTTCTGCGCTTTTTAAAAAGGGGAAAAAACATTTTTAAAGTTTTGAGAAACTGACCAATTTGGATGAACTAGCTGCAGCATTTGAGGAAGAAAATTGTTCGGCCAGAGATTATTAGAGAGTGGAACTCAAACCTTATTGGCAGTCTGTAATGCTCCAAATCTGTGAAAAGTCTCGATCATCTTCGTTATATGCATTACGTCAAGTCTACAAACTTAATAAACCTGTGCAGCTTTCAAATATTCCACCAACAAGTGCAGCTGCTCATCAACATTTCGAACGTGTATATTATAGTTCAAACTTGGTTAGGGCATGATTTGGAACCCCAGGTATTTTCTGGAGCCTATCATGAGAATTTTACCACCTGCTCCAGAACATTTGCTAAATACAAGTTTCTGCAACTGCAAGAGTGGTTGTGGTTCGTGATGCGGATGCAGGAAAGCGGGCTTGCAATGCTATTTAGCTTGTGGCCAATGTAATGGGCAAGCTTGTCTCAATGCTCTACCATATCAGAGCGACATTAACGAAGATGGAACTTTTGACCCCGAAATCATGGAAGAACTTGAAACAAATGTCGTTGAAGACGATAATGAAGACCAGTTTGAAATTTACCAGCAGCCGGAAGACGACGATGAAGAGGAAGAAGATGATTAAAATTATAAATTGTAGTTTTTGTACCCTTTATTCCATTTTTTTACTTTTAATAAAAATAAATGTATTGAATGATATTTTTAAATACATTTTTTTTATTTTTTTTTTTTTATCATGTAAGAAGTTATTAATAGTAATAAGGTTTAAATTCAAATATAATTCCTATATTTTCATTAACAATTCTGCAATTTCATGGGCAGGTAAGTGTTGTTAATTAAATTAATACTGAATAAAAAGTGGATAGGTTAGGAAAAAATGATAAAATATAATATAATAGTTAATAAAAATTGACAAATATTTATAATCATTGATTTATCGATAGTTCATCAACTATATATGGCGCGTTTTGATGTTGTTTGTTGTAACGATTATCTAATCCCGTTTGGGTGATAAATTCTAGATTCGTTGTCGTCGAGGTCATCTAACGGAAGGCCAGGAACGAGCTGTTTCGACGGGTCGGACCATAGGAGAGGGGTGTTAGATGAGTGAGGTTTGTTGGGCATGCAAAGAGGTGGTTAGTGTCATGCGGAGACTCATTGCATGCAGGACATGTGTTTGGTATGTCAGGGTCGCGCGTTTTTGATCGGAGCCACCGGTTGACCTGAAGTGATGATGTGACTGCGTGCTCTAAGCCCTATATCTCGAAAACGGTTCACCGTATGAAAAAAATTTTTAAACAAATTTGTAGAGAGTTTTGTATTCTACACTATTGATAATAAATACCAATAGCAAAAACCCATAGGAAATGAGATATTTACAAAAAAGGCAAAAACCGATTTTTGTGACCTTTGACCTTGAAATTTAATAGTTGCGTACACCCTACCATATGCAGGTTTTGAGACAACTTTTAGGGTGTCAATATACAAGTATTTACAGACTTACAGCTGGGTATCTGAATTCCGAGGTGAACTTACTATAATGACTGGACTAGACCGCGATAACTGCCAAAGTACAGAGCCGCAACAAAATCCTCAAATTGATTGCCGGCAGCTCATGGCCGGCCGGTCTAAACTACGCTGCACCAATATGGTCGCCTGGATGTGGTGCAACGTAGACGAAGAGGCTTGAGGCATGTCAGAACACTGCACTCCGGACTATCGCAGGTGCCTCTTGATGTCCTAATCGAACACCTACATTGTGAGGCCCGTATGCTTGTGGTTAAGAAACACAACGAACTCCTCTTCAGCTGTTTCTGCTGGACGTTTCCGCTGAAACCACCCTGCATGAAGCGGAACCGGATCGATGACATTAGGCAGTACGCCGACCAGACTTCGGACGCAACGAATTTTAGGCATGCACTGATCGTTATTTGTAGTGAAGGTATCAACACCTTCACCGACTCCTCTCAGGCAATGGCGTACTTGGAAACAAACCACCACCTCGCAGATGAAGACTCGAGTTGCACGAGAATGTAGAGTGACCCTTGCGCAACTTCGTTCTGGATCTTAGCAGGTTAAAATCCTACCTATTCAGACCCGCATATCAATATATGTCCTGCATGCAATGAGCCTCCGTATGACGCTAACGCCTTTTTGCATGCCCAACGAACCCTACTCGTCTAATACTATTTTTATTATGGTCCGACCCCGTCAAAACATCTCGTTTCCTGAGCCTCCCGCTAGATGACCTCCTAAGTGGGGATTAGACAATAAAGACGATTTCCTACTGAAATCTTCAGACTTTCGAGTGTCTATTTAGGATAAACTTGCTATAATTCAAAGTCATCCAATGTTGATTGTGATTATAGAAAAAGTAAAAAAAATAGTTAAATACAAATATATAAAATTACAAAGAACTTTGTCAATTACCTCTGTCCTTCAAAACGCAAATGACTTGCATTTTGCACTCACACTTTTGTATCCTATTTTGAAATTTTTCTTTGGCACTAATGACAAATGTATTTTCTCATTCTTACTTATTCAATAAGATCAAGAAATGAGATAACATTTTTGTTTGTTTGAGAAATTCGAAATTAGTTAAAACACGTTGAGACAGTATAAAAAAAAATATGCCAGAAGTGTGCATTGGTGTTGATACTTGAATAAAAAATGTGTAATTGTATTGAAACTTCTGAGGAAAGTGGTTAGTCACGGCTTGCACTGATAATCTGTTGAAATCAGCATACTTATGTATGTACATAATTTGTAAACCGTTTGGCCCTATATTCACCACCTAAAGAGTTAACGTTTTCAAGTGGCTTTTTTTGATATCTTATGAATTATACCACCAGATAAGTTAAAGGTGGATTTTATTTTTACTTAGCGATGTTAGCATTTAACCAATTATGACATTGTTTAAAATAATATATGAAATTTAAAATGGGTATGGGCGAATAGAGGAGGTTCTCCAGGTTAAGAATATGTATATATATACAATATATATATATATATACAATATATTGTATATACAATATATATACAGCTGTCGTTGTATAGTTGTGAAAATATATAATATGGCATTTAAAGTTTACTTATTGTATTAGTTAAAGTTTACAATACACTATTATAAGGTACACTAACAACATTATTCTGTGCACTTGACAAATGAACAAAATATTGCCAATTTATCAAGATTTTTATCAAGTCAAGCTTCTTGTTATCTATGTCAATCTTGATAAAATGTAAAGCTTCAGAACTCAACGCTTTTTCCCACACGTACATATGTATGATGAACAAGATTTGAAGATCACTGCCGATTCAATATACAAACGTATATCACATCTTGCTTTAAATCTTTGAATATGTCAAAATAATAAATAATAATAACTTGATGTAGCCAATGCAAATGTCGATAGTCCTTGGCCGGATAAAAATGCGGGTCCGTTCCGTCTACGTAGACCCAACTGTCGTGGGAACGGTTGCCAATGCTAATAGTTTTGGTTGGTATTAAAAACGGTGTTCGTTGAAAATTAATAGTATTTGCAGTGCACATCAGCACGAAGTATTAAAATAGATCAAATTATAAGATGCCGGAGTTTGATATTAAGCAGCTTTCTTTTCAACCTTTTTCGCTTCATCTCATCTATCATCACCTCTCAAACCGACTCGTCTAACACTTCTCTTCATATATATTTTACAACAATAACAATACTTTTGTCGAGTATTAGTTTTTCGATCACTTTTAAGGGAATTTGATCACATTCCATTCTCATGGTTTACCCATCTACAGTATTATGTTGTACTTATTATCAAGAACTTTGCAATTATATTCATTTTAAACTATAAAATTTTATTTGTATAATTGGCTGCAATTGTTTATTTACTTCTTATGGGACTTATTTTAGATAAATGCGGAAAATTATGAAGACGATGAATTGCTGACTGCTATTCGTAAAGATCGGAATTACACATTTGAAGATGAAGTAAATATGAATTGAATCTAGCATTATTTATGTCATAGTATTATTTTAATTATTACACACTTTATTAAATATGTTATAACGGATCTACATATTCCTTGTATGTATTTCAATCTGGCATTATTTATATGTATCTATTATTCCCTATTTGATTTAAATTATTTTTACAATTTTAATTATAACCGAACTATACCATGTGTTTTGAAAACATTTTGACGTTTGACATGACATTAGTTTAATATACCGAATTCCAATACATACCTAAAACGCCGGGGTACAAATGAAAATGAAAATTTATTCAAAAGTCTCATCATGGTGCTCTATTTGACAAATCGAATAATCTATTCTGATCAGTTTTGCGTGTTATAAAAAACAGTTAGATGATCCAAACTATTATACTCTGTTCAACATGTTACGAGAATATAAAAATGTTTGAATAGAGGGCGCCCGGCCTCCAAAATAAATATACATATCGCTTTACTACTATGCCTATATTAACCAGATTTATGAAACCATTTTTTTCTAGCGTTTGGGTACAAACTAAAAATGTGGAAAATCGAGCAATAACCTCGCTCATACAACTGCTATGTTAATGTTAATAAAATATAAATTATTTAAAGTGCCTTAACTCTAATGAAAAACATCAGTAGCAATTGAATTTAATTGAAAGCAGGTTCTGTAAGTCGATAGAAAAAGTAGATAGTGTTCGTGGCACCGCCCACTTATTGACAGCTCATAGCGTAGCACCCACCTCGACTGAAGTAAATTAAATTTGGTACATAATTTTTTTTTGATATACTTACCATATATTACAGAGTGAAAATGAACGCAAAGGTCGACTACGTTTCCATATGAAAGCATTTACAAAAATCAATGATAGGAAGTGTACATCTGATAATAATGTCTAGTGTTAAAAACGAATAAAATTAATAGCAATGCGTTGCCAAAGTGAATTGCTTTGCGAAGGGCAATCGGTATTCTGTAACAAATTCGTATTGTAAACAGCATTCTGCTGTTTTTGCGTTGACACATTTCCATTATACTTGGCACTACTGGTTGAAACGAAGGAAATTGAAAACAGAATCAACAATAACGATGTGGAAATAATAAGCGGACGTACACTATTCAAATTCATAGGGTTTTAAATTCGTTGTGAGTTTTAAATATAAAAAGTGTAAATATATAAAATACAAAGGGCCGAGTAATGATGCTATGTGTGGTCAGCTATTAGACTAACTTTATTTGCAAAATTCTTCTCCTTAAATAATATTCTAAGCAATATTGCAATACCGTTCAATACATAATTTCCGCTAAGTACATAGTTTCGTTTTCTATTAGTACATATATACATAAGTATGTAAGTTATATAAAAACAATTCATAAAAGGAAAATAACCCAAGTACATACATTACTCTATAGCTCCTTCGTATATAATGTAGTTATTAACAAAATAATGCGAACGCAGCATTGCAAGATGCCATTTTATGTTTTTTTCATAAATTTTTCAAAACCTTGTTTTGTGTTCTAATTTTTCAACAGCTAATTAATATTTCCTTTTTTTGAAATTACCTTTAGGTTAGGTTTCCGTAATAAAAGAAATTATTTGAAGGAATTTAAACTACAAATAAACGCCACGAACTAACATTCTTTGTCCGTTGCGCTTGCTAGTTTGAAGATGAATAAAAATTCGTTAAACGCACAAGTTTGATACTCGCTTACGCGATGTATGTCTATTCACTAATCACAAAGCAGTATACATACAGTACGCCGCAATATATTTTACAATGAATGGAAAGTCAGTCGGGTTTTTATTTATTCACATTAGTGGTGAACAAAATATGAGATTGCAGAAATAAATACCAAATTTGTATGGGAATTTTTTGAAATTGGTTAAATTTATATAAAATTTCTAGCAACTTTGAAATTTAAAAATATAAGTGTAAAATTTTTTATAAATCAAAGAAACACCCACTTTAAATAGTTGAATTTATGAACTTTAAATGCAAATATTTCAAAAACCATAAGTCAGCGGCAACTAAATGTATTGTAACGGATTTCGATATTTTCCATAAATACCTATAACACACTTTTGAGTTTGATCACTGGATTGTTAAATAAAAGTCCCGATTTGATGGTTATGCACATATCTTTATTTCTAGTTCAAACAATTGGACACTTATTACTTCTTATTCGAAATTACAACTTATTGCTCATAGCTCAATTGCTCTTTAGACGGCAACACTCCAATTATAACTGCGTTTACTGCACAATCCGGCAGCCCTTATATAGTAGATTGTTAATAAAACTTCTCTACTCGAACATTCCGACAATTACGAATTTCGCTATCTAGTTCGTTCTAGCAGTTTTGCTTTCATTTTATTGCTCATAATTTTAGTGCGCTGCCTCACCATAGCATGTACAAGGTGCGTTCCAAAGTATACAGAACTTTTAAAAAAATGAAGAACAAATGGTTTTATCGGAAAAAACAATTAATTTTATTCAAAATAGTTTCCTGCTTTAATACAGCTTTTTGCACGGTCCAAAAGCATGTCGAACGAGCGTTTTAGCTCGTTGCCCGGTATGGCCGCCAGTATGCCGGTGCCAGCCTTTTGAATGGCCTCCACGTCTGCATAACGCTTTCCTTTCATCGCAAATGCATTTTTCCGAAAAGGTAGAAGTCGCACGGTGCCATATCGGGTGAATACGGGGAGTGATTAATTGTTAAAATGTGATTTTTGGTCAAATAATCGGCCACAAGCGTCGATCGATGAGACAGCGCATTATCGTGCAACAAACGCCAACTTCCATTTTCGCGATATTCGGGCCGAACAGCTTCAAAACTCCAAGGTTGAATACCGCATTAACGTTTTAGCCGGGTGGAACAAATTCTTTGTGGACAATACCCTTGGAATCATAAAAACAAATCAGCACTGTCTTCATTTTTGACTTCTCCAGGCGCGATTTTTTGGGTTTCGGCTCATTTCTCATTTATGTCCTCACGACCACTTTGAAAACGTTGAAACCACTCGTGCACTCTGCTACGGGATAGGCAATCATCGCCATAAACATGTCTGGTCTTTGTTCGATGTTCATTTTCGCACCGATGACAAAAACATACTGACACTTAAAACTCAATAACTTCACTTCCAATATATGAAATGTCATGAAATTTTTACTGGAAGACGATAAAGGATAGCAGATTCTAACGCACTAGTCGACATATAGATGGCGCCACTAGAGTTTACTTTGTTACTTTTTTACTGTTTACTTTGGAACGCACCTTGTATATCTTTCATCTCGTCTTCTAGGATGCTGTTGACTTCCTTAGCATTCGCTCCTTCGTTGGCGTTATTTGCAAACTTCAAATCAATCGGTAGACGAAGATCATTACCAAACCTCACCCTGGCTGGAGTCTGCCCCGTTGTTTCATGTACAGCGGACCGATAAACCATCAGACGCAAGGATATATGGGTATACCAATCTTTTAATACTTGCCCACAACTTTCCTCAAATGTTCTTCCAAAGCTCTATTGTATCGTTCTACCATGCCATCGGACTGCGGATGTAGTGCAGTACGGACAGTTTTTTGGATACCCAGTATCTGGCACATCTCCTGAATTAGAGCTGATTCAAAATTTTTCCCATGGTCAGAATGTAATTCTATTGGAACACCATATCTCGATACCCAATTGTTGATGAATACATCTGACTACCAAAACATATTTGTTTCCTAATATACTGATAGGAAATGTGATTGCATTGCAAAACATTGCGTGTTATAAGCTAGGTGAGCTAACCTCTCAATCTATGTAGAAAACTACTGCAGAAACTCATTGGCTTTCTGGCGGCGATTTTGCAACTAAATAAGTGAAAATGGCAGAAAATACAAGGTGCGTTCCAAAGTAAACGGGACTTTAAAAAAAAAGACAGAAGAAATGGTTTTATCGGCAAAATCAATTAATTTTATTCAAAATAGTCTCCTTCTGCTTTAATACAGCTTTTTGCACGGTCCCAAAGCATGTCGAACGAGTGTTTTAGCACGTTGCCCGGTATGGCCGCCGGTATGCCGGTGCAAGCCTTTTGAATGGCCGCCACGTCTGCATAACGCTTTTATTTCATCGGCAAATGCATTTTTCCGAAGAGGTAGAAGTCGCACGGTGCCATATCAGGTGAATTCGGGGAGTGGTCGATTGTTAAAATGTGATTTTTGGTCAAATCTGCTTCACAATTTCCAAAATATTCTCGAAAAAATAGCACGAGCCTGCAAATAGATCACTGCCGAGTTCGGCATTTTATTATTTTTGTGAAATTTCATAGAAACTTTCTTCTTACTTAAGGGTATAATATAAATTAAGTATCAAATGTCACATAAAATTTTTGCATTCAATTTTGAGTAATTATTTACATATTTAATTATTTTTATTCTATTATATTATTAAGCCCAGCTAGTAATTCATTTAAATCGATAATTTTTTCTCTGTCTTGAGTTGCGGTAAAAAAAATTACTATGATATAAAAATAATAGATAGAAGAACTTTTCTATGAAATAGAAATGATAAATAACATTGCTAGCCTATTATTATGTCACATGCATTCGATATACCCTAGCCGTAATAAGTCTACGCTCCCCTACAAAATAAATGTGCATTGCTATAAATTGTATGAATTATTACTTAAATAACTGAAACTTTTTATACATACTATTATTCTCAATAACTGCCTTCTCTAAATTAAAGCGGCAACGTCAAATTACTGTGAAAAATTGTTCATGCTAATAGATTTTGTATCGCGCATACCTAAATGAACGCGGCAGCAACGCTGAGCGTTGAAAAATTCGATTTTGACAGCGCGTTAAGATATAAAGTTGGCTGCAGAAAATCAAGAAATTGAAATTTTGCTGGACAATTTGTAACAGTTTTATATATCATTTCATTTTACACTACGATAAAATAGCGGGTGCGGAGCGGGTTTGGCTGGGAACCGCCAATCAAATATATCTGCCGGGTAAGTTAATCACAAATATATGTACTTAGAATTAACTAATAAAATATTTCTTTTCGCAAAAAAGTGTAAAGTCAAGTTGAAGAGATCTACAGTTTTAATGGAAACAATGGCGCTTGCATGCTTGTTGTGAAAAACTTTTAACTTTCAGTACAACAACAAACGTTGAAATGAACACGAGTGAGCTCACAGACGGCAGTCAGTTGTTCCACAACACTCTAAAACGTAAGCGTGGCAACGATGGTCTCTTCAATGATGTTCTAGTAGCAATGAAGAGGACATATGAAGAACCACAAACCAGGAAATAAGAGCATTTCTTCGGTATGCTTAGGAACAAATAATAATGTGGAAATTGATATTTTAAATTTAGTTAATAGAAAAATTAGTACACCGAAGAACACCTCGATGTAAAAACCCACATCAGTACTCTTTTTAATTTTTCTCTCTATGCCTTCATTATTACCAAAACCGCAAAATGTTTAAAACTTTACAAAATAAGATTTTAATAAGATTGTTTTTACTCTACTACTACTATAAAAATTAGTTTTTATTTAAATTCGAAGGGTGTACGATACAATAACTAACTAGAACTGAACTCTCGTTATCTATGGCGTCGCCTATCTGCATAATTAGATCGTTAGCATCTTAGCTTATTGAGAATAATAGCATACAGTTTAAGTTACTATTTATATAATAATTCCTATGATTTAAAGCAGTAAACATTTATTTTGTAAAGGAGCGTAGACTTATGACGGCTAGTGTACCACATGCAACCACATACATATCATAGCTGTATTATATTGGTAATTTCTCTGCTCGCTTCTGCTCTTTTGTCAAAAAATTTACATGTGAAAGCAACAACAAAGATATCGAGTTAAGTTGAAGCAAGAGAGTATGCGGATACCTCATTAAAGTGGTATAACTTCCATCTTCAATGCTGCCCAATTTTATTTTGCATATTTTAGCCCACTTTTACTATTATGATATTACAATTTTTTTTTTGTATTTTTAAATTCAATTATAATAATTAATAGAAACCCAAAAGAAATGGTTACTGTAACGTTTTTTAACGTGAACAAAAAGAAATTTTCCACTAAGAAAGACACTATTGCGCATGCGTAAGAAGACATGTTAGCGCAGGGTTGCACCACAAGTGCGGCCCGTTTGCTTGAGCATCGGGTATAAGTTGTTTCTTCGCTGGAGAGTAACGCTTGGCGAATCGAAGACAGCTTATATTATTTACTTATAAGTTACAGTAGGTTTTAGTACAATTTTGCAAACGCCATTGAAACTTCGTTTTGCTGTTCTTCGAAATCACTACTACCAATATTTTTCTTACTATTAAAAAGAAAGTTGCTGTTTTTTGAACTATTTTTCAGTCTTCCACATTCACCTCATCTAAACCGGTTTGTTTTTTTAATTCCACTATTTCTTCCCTATCGACAGAGTGTCAAAAAAAGAGCGCAAAGTCAGTGCTAGTTGCAGTTTCTTGAACTTTTTTTTGGACGACAAATGCACATAAGTGAATATTATAGCAGCTCGACCATAAACTCAATTCACATTTTCAGCTGTCTGGTTAGCGTTTTCGGCTTTATCGAGGAATTCGCACACTTAAACAATACTCAGTCAAGCAATTACTAAACTATCTGAGAAGTTTTTTTTACTAACTCGATCGCATTTATATGCGACTTAGAGACCTTATACACTTTAATTTGTATCTATCTCGGTAAGTTTTGGTTGTTACATACAACCGTTAGGTAAACAAAACTATAATACTTTTTACATCCGGTGGAGAGAGTACAAATTATTGTAAAGAAAAATATACAAAGTTTCTAAAATTATCATGATCAAATAATAACGGCTGATATCATTAATAATATAAAAATTAAATAAATTTAATACGCATATTGACTGTAAGGTTATTCGGTATTAAAAGCCGAATAAAATCGGTAATTTCCTACATATACAAAATTGTGCAGATTCTTTTCCTATATATTTTTTCGGGTCTTAATTTGTATTATCTTGTTTATTTGACTAATCTGTTTATGCAACATGTTTGTTGTATTGAACCGCTTAGGAATCCAACAATAAATCTGCTGCAAAAGCAATTAAATGTTTACATAAGCATTTCAAAAGTAGTAAAATCAAACTTTTGTAATATAAAATTTTTGTTTGCATACAGATAACTTGTTCTAAGTCATGTTTACCAGATTTTGAAAGTAAGCTGAGATCGTTCTACACCGAGCATTTACATACGGATGAAGAAATTCGACTGGTTTTGGATGGTTCTGGATATTTCGATGTCAGAGAGTAAGTAAACACTATAATTTACTCTGTACTTCCGTCATATTGCAGCTTCAAGAATGATTGAAACCTTAAAAATTTAATGTTATTGTGAAAAGCAACAATTTGCCCTCATCTAAATTGCATTTAGCTTTGCAACATGAATTTTATGACAGCACTTGATTCCGATCGTTCAGTAGCTATATGCTATAGTGATTCAATATTAAATATTTCTTCGAAGATTGTATCATTGCCTTAGACAATAATCCATGCCAAGTTTCATGAAAATATCTCGTCATATGAAAAAGTTTTTCATACAAGCACTTGATTCAGACCGTTCAGTTTGTATCGCAGGCTAATCCACGTCAAATTTATTGAAAATATCTTGTCAAATATAAAGGCTTTCTATACAAGTACTTTACTCCGATCATTCAGTTTGTTTGGCAGCTTTATCCGTGATCCAAAATCAGCGGTTCAGACAAATGAGCAGCTTGTGGGTAAGAAAAGGCCGGGTGCAAAATTTCATCGATATCTCAAAAATTGAGGAACTATTTCGCATATATAGAGACAGACGTACAGACAGACAGACAGACGGACATGGCTAAATCGACTCAGCTCGTCACGCTGATCAATTATACAAGTATATGTACTTTATCTATCTGACGTTTCTTTTTGCGTGTTAGAAGCATCATGGCTAACTTAACAACAAAAAAGCAGTGTTTAATAAAGTTATCTTGATTAAACTGGTACTATAATAAGTAATATGTACATTAAATATCTCACAAAACAATAAAGCCATATTTATCAAATTTGCTCAGAATAAATATTTCGGCACTTCATCCAAATCTTTGATGATAACCTCGCCTATTCCCTCTATAACGGTTCTGTTTGAACCTTCGAAAAGTGTGATAAACCGGTAACTGAACATGTAAGAAACATATATTAAATTTTACAAGAACTGATATTTTACTTAAAAGTTCTACCTAAAGTTGACGATCGCGCTGTTGTTGGGCAAAATATTATTCTAGTTGCAGGTGTTAAATATGCACTGGGCCGGCTATCGTTGCGTAATGGCATAAATTAAAATAAGTATTTAGTGGGATATCCTTTGTTTTTTAGAAATTTTTTCATTTCCTTTTGAAGAAGGCAGCGGCATATCAAACAGGTGATGTACACAATTCCGTTGTTGCCGTACTAAAACCTTTCACGTAAATGAAATTTTAATATTTGGTTCAAAGTGAAATTTTTTGTTGCAAAGCCCTTTGCGAAATGAGATGATCAAATTGCGGGAAATCTAGGTTTAGATAAACAAGGATTCGACTTTATTAACTCGAAGAAAGCCATTTCTATAATAGTATTTAATTGTCAAAGTCTTTGTTCACACGCCAAAGATCGCTGATCGAGTCTTCCAAAATACGAATATTTTGATGTTATCAGAAAACTTTATGAGTGATGAAGAACCTCCTGTGCAAGTACCAAATTTTTAATTTATTGTGAGACTTCAATGTAATGAAATTCGAAATTCAGGTGTTTCCATCTATCATCATTGTTACTCCTCATTTGCGAATAAAAGCTTCTTACTCAAGTGTGGCTGATGTCACGGTATAAACATCAGCAAGAATTGAGGATTTATGTGCAGTAGAGTGCAAAATCAACCCCAACGATAACAATAGTAAGAAATTAATTGTAATAGCTATTTATCTATCACCAAATGCTTCAATGAGGCATATCAATATATTTATCGGAAAAGCTTTGTTGCCATGATCGAATTTAAGTTCACAAGCTCGGGCGATGTTATTGGAGAATGCGTAGAGTATTGTGACCAGTCGGTAATTCTTGCGGGTGATTTTAGATTTTAATGTCAATTTTTCATTGCCAGAAGCTCCGCCATTACTACACCTCCTCAAAGATAAATTCTCTTTAGAAATGATTAATGCCAGTAATTTAATGCAGTTGTTTTTTTTTTTTTTGTATTCTCAGTGTTTAGTTGACTGAAACACAACTGTTCTAGTCAATAATAAATCACTTTGAGAAACTTATGGAAGCCATACGGCCGACTTGAGCTTCAGAAGACTGTATGAAGCTCCCTGTTTGTCTAAGGCCTGAACAACTTTCCTAACTTACCTATCTTTCACAATTTATTCCGAAAGAATCGAAAAAGGTTTCAAATTTCTCTCTTTTAAGCTTTAATAAACATATATTTAAACGCGTAAAAATGTGTCTGCACGCAACAGCAGCATAAAGATTAGATAGCTTAGATCTCCGAAAAACCATCCTTGACTGCATAAATTCCCTTAACGTAGAAGCGGAAATTACATTGCAAATATCAATACTTTCACTGTTTTTCTGGGTATTGAATTTTCGAGAGATTAAAACATAAATAAAAAAGTTTTTAAAAGTCGAAATATTTGTCTTCGAATTTCGAAATGACGCTTATTGAAAACATTTTTATTAAATATAGGATGTACGTTAATGGAAAAATAAAAATAATAGCATTTTCCATGTTTTCCTCTTCTTTCAAGAGTGTATAATACTTCTCTATCAAGCGTGTATAACAGACCAGCCACCAGACGTTTATTGGGAAAAATGTTGTAATTATAGAAAATACATTGCTTATAATCTTCCGCTTTGTCTATAATAGTCTAACATCTTTGATGGCAACTTGCAACTAAATTTTCCACCTATTCCACAGGAAGCGAACTCCAGTTATGTTAGAGTACCCGAATAAATCTTTTGTTGACGTTTTTTTTTGATATTTTGGCTTTCATTAAAGCCCAAACATTCTCTATTAAATTGATGTCTGGTGACTGTACTGGCTAATCTAAAGTAAAACAAGTAAGGAAGGGCTAAGTTCGGATGTAACCGAACATTTTATACTCTCGCAAAGTTAAATGGTATATTCGTTTGAGACTTCTTTATATATTTTAATAATTAGAAGTAGGAACTGTTGCCTTAGTTATTTACTTTTCACTCACAGTGAAAATAATTAGAGCCTTTTGTAAACTAAATTTACTTAAATTATGAGAAATCGTTCTTGTGCTTTTTGTATACGCTTATAATTGATTTTATATAGAATGCATTACAACTGTATTGAGAAGTATGAAAAGAAATCGTTTTTGGACAATGAATAACATTTTTTATTTATTATATCGATATTATTATACATGTTTAGCTTTAAAATAATAAATATTAACAACTTTAAAAATGATATAATAACATTATATTATATTTACAATATTAAACATAAATTTTTGTAGAGATTCTTATACATATATCCAAATTATATTTCTTTTTTTCTTATACTATTTAATTTCTATCATATATTTATACAATAATGTCATATATAATAACAAATTATATATATAATCTAAATTTTCTTAATTATTTTTCTTAAAATTGTCTTAAAAACTACTGTCAAAATTCCTATACCATTCCAATTCGATTATATTTGGAAAAAAAAATAAAGAACTATTGCACTAAGTCTGAAAACTTTAGTTCGAAATAGGAACACAAATACTGTCATGATAGATGTGTACTGTCTCAAAAGTAATTGCATTTACACGGGAAGGATCCATGTTTGAAAATGCCCAATCAATTTGTGTACCGGCAGGTGTAGTTGAATATTCTGCACCAAGCAGGGAACTAAAGTTTTTTTCTTGGAGCAGATTTCTTATTGCAGTCTCTGTAGACATTAAACAAATGTTAAAATCTCCAACAATTAGCACATTTTGATTGCCTAACTCAGAAGTAAGGACTTCCTGAAGTTCTACAATTAATTGTCTGACAGAGAAAGCTGAATTTCTATATAGAACCAGAATATTAATATTGAAACATTTAAACAAAACCGCTTCTAAAACTTTGCGGCCTGAATAAATTTTCTTTACAGCCTTTGATTCTATAGAGCAAGCAATATTTTTTCTTTTATTTCTGTTGGTTGTTTCCGTGCTATCTATCCTCAGCTCGTTAATTGGAGTAAATCCTGGTATATCAAAACTTTCGCAAGGATTACTCCAAGTGAACATTATGGAATAAAATTTGATGTCCTGATGTTCGGGAAATCATAAAATTGAAACTTGTTGTCAAAGCTTTATTTGTGTTCAATTCCCTCAGTTCCGTAAATACGGGATCCGATTCAGAAAATTTGTTAGGAGGAATAAAATTTCCTATGATGAATAGACCTGCAGTAGTAGCTCGACTGCAAGCGACATATATTGAAGCTCTAGGCATTCTGGGTCGAGTATGAACTACAACTTTATTATATGTGGCACCCTGACTTTTATGAATAGTTATTCCCTCAGCCGGAATAACTGGAAACTGATTTATTTCAATTGAAATTTGTTCATTTGATCGTGCTATCAAACCAACAGAAGGTTCCAAAAATTTAATCCACAGAATTGTTAGAAAAGAACAATGGAAATCAATTTGCATAAGTTGTTCAGCTGCCCCATTAACCAAGCCATCACACGTGTTTATGTTCACTGTAATCATATATTTGGCGGAGGTTTTTAGTGTCAATTCATAGGGCAGTCCCTGCGTTTCAGAAGTTTTGAAAAGTTTAACTCTTTTCAAAATATTATCATTTTCATTTATACCAATTCTTTTAACTGAGTCTTTTGCAGTTGAAAGGAAAGCTTCTGTTGGGATTCGACTGAGCTTAAGGGCATTGAAATTATTTGTCTCTTCATTGGCCCAAAATAAATGTATGGCATCATCGGGAACTTCTTCGAAATTAACTACTCGAGTTTCAATGAGTGATATGTCCTCATTTGTCATAGTACCAGATGCCATATGATTTAATGCAATTGCAAAGGCCTGATCCTCCTGTTGTCTCATTATCTCTGTTAATTCAAAGTATTTAAATAACTCCCACAAAGGGGAACCAACTTAAGTGCTGTATGCATCATTGGGATTAGGGGAGAATATTCACCTATCTCCAACAGGTGAGAGTTGTTTCAAATCACCAAACACTATGATCGGTATACCACCGAAGGGGCTGTCTGTTTTGAAAATTTGTTTTAATCTCGCAT